TTTGCAATAGAAAAACAAAATGGGAGGGAGGCCTCACTTTTCCTGATTTTAGAAATTCTAAAGCTGCAGCAATCAAAAAGCACAGTACTGGCCTAAAGATAGTAATAATACAGGTCAACCGAACAGAACTGAGTTCAGAGATGATGATTCCGTACACCTGCGGTTAGCTAAACTTTAACAAGAGTGCTGAGATCACTCAATAATTGTCCTCGAAACAGTGTTTGAGAGACTAGTTAACAACAGGAAAGAAAGATATTAGACTCTAACCTTAAAGCATTTCAAAGACCCAATCATAATGCCTAGAACCAAAACACTTTTAGAAAAGGGCCCCAAAGAAAGACCATCTCTCAACGGATTTGGCAATGACTTCCTGAATATGATATCAAATGCCTAGGCAACAAAAGAGAAATATAAACAAATTAGATTGTGAGACACTATTAACAGTGCAAACAGGAAAGCCATAGATGTAGATGCTTGCGCACCAAACACCTGATATGGGAGTTAATATCAATGATACACTTCTTTATATATTCCTACAAGCCGACACCAAAAAAACGACAATCCTATTCCAAAGTGAACAAAGAGTTTTGATAAGCATTCCTTTAAACATAGAGGGACAGTCTATGACACATGAAAAAGATGTTCAGTGTTCCCAAGCATTAGGGAAATGTAATTCAGAACCACAACTAAATACCACTTCATACTCCAAAGGATGGCTGTTGTAAAAAATAATGCACTTTCACACACAATAAATGTGATGAGGATGTGGGGAATTAGAACCCGTGTGCAGATGTGGTGATATAAAATGGTGCAGCTGCCTTGAAAAATAGTGTCTTAGTAGGGGTTTCTATTGCTGTGATTAAAACCCCACAGCCAAAAGCAACTTGAGGAAAGGGCTCATTTCATCTTCCACCTCTCAGGTGACAAGTTAATTCTGAGGGAAGCGAGGGCAGGCACCTGGAAGCAGGAACAGAAAGACCGTAGAGTAACAGTGCTCAGTGTTTGTTGCCCGTGGCCTGCTCAGCCTGCTTTCTTATATAATGCAGAGAGACCTAGACAGGGATGACAAGTCCCATAGTGGGCCGGACCCTCCCACATCAATTATAAATCAAGAAAATGTCCTATAGACCTGCCTATAAGTCAGTCGTATAAGGCATTTTCTCAGTTGAGAGCCCATCTTCCCAAAAGACTCTAGCTTGGGTCAAGTTGACAAAACAAAAACAAACAACTAATCAACACAAACAGTATAGCTGATCATTAAAAACTGAACACCGGGACAGTATAATCACACGATCCAGCAATTCTACTTTTGAGGGTAGACCACTCAAAAATTCTACTTTTGAAGGTAGACTACTTTTGAGGATAGACTACCTCAATGAGGTAGACCACTATCGTGACCTGACGGAATTATCTCCAGAACAAACCGACCCACTCTCATTCATGAGACACAAATAAAGACCCTTACATCTCAGTCCAGCTCCCCTCCTCTAACTATTCCCAGCCTCCTCCAGCCACATTTAACACACAGGCCGCTTGTCTCAGTGTGACACTGACGTGTGAAGAAAATGGAGTGGCCCTGTCACCTCCCTCAACATGGTTATAATCAATTATCGAACGAGTTTCTGCCTAGTGCATTAATACATTAATTCCTGTGGCGCTGATATCCATCTAACACCTATGTTCTTTGCTCATGTGCCACTGCTAAAATCGTCCTTGCTTTGAACTCTCTCATAGACTAAAGAGAAAAACTAAAGCATATCCACAAGACAGTACAAAAATGACAAGCCAAAAAATAAACATCACTCAAAACTACTTGACAAGACCTATTTGTGACCTAAATTCAAAGTTTCCAGTTGCCTTTTATGTCAATCCTATTTTTATTGGAATAATTACGTACACATCTTTTCAAATTATAAAACTTTAGTTTTGCTATGAAAAAAAAATAAACAAATCAAAGGGATGTATGGCACATGTAACTGTTCTGGAGATACTGTTGGCCTGAGGCATGGCGATTGGGGGTTTAAATGATGTCAGCAGGCCTCTGCTCTCTTCTTCACCCACCTCTCCTCTGTTCTCTGTCTCATCCTCATTCTTCTTAAACTGGTTTTCTGTTCTGAAGCTAAGGGCAAGCTTCCTGAATCATGGGTGGTGGAACAGAGAGAGAGAGAACAGTGCTCTCGACAATCCCGGGGGTGGGGTGGGGTATATTTACTCTCCACACATTCTAATCAGTTCACAGCCCTGAATACGTCACCTTAGCCACGGCGGTGCAAATGCTTAATAGCTTCGTTCCAGGTCAGATGTTCTGCCACTGGATCAGAACAAAATAAATCCACTGAAACAGCTGTTTGGCTGAAAGATGATCATCCAAGAGTGCTCAGAGGAAGCCAGCATCAGGGTGAGGGGAGGCTGAGAGACAGAACAGAGTGATTCAGCCACCTCTGGATGAGCCCCACAGGTAATTTACAGATTCAGAGATGTTGCACATTAAAAGTGATTTTCAAGTCCTCAGACAACATATTTTTGGGATCCTAATTCTGCGACAAAGTGCAGTGCTATACTGTGATGAAGGAGCTGTATGTGTCTTACCGCACTCAGTCATGAACAGCACGTGAACACGTGATTTCGTAGCACGCAGACTATAAAACCCCACAGTTGAACGGCGTGATGACATAGCGCCCGGAAACACAGCACAGCGGAAACAGAGGCTGGAGGATCACGCATGAACTTTGAGGCAAGTCTGACCTACAGAGTGAGTTCCAGGCCATCAAGGGCAACATGGCAATTCCCTATCTCAAAACAAAAAGAAACAAACAGCTCCATGGTTCTGTTGTCACTTTTAGCAGCTCCCTGACCCAACCGGGCTTCTCCTTCCAAGGAACTACTGCCAGCATCTTTAAATGTGCACATATAACGAGAAACCAGGTCCATCTTTTAAGTTGGGGCCCTAGTTCTTATGCCCAGAGACACTGGGAATCATCTTAACAAAATGTCCCAACTTAATGTGAAGATCTGATAGATAGATAGATAGATAGATAGATAGATAGATAGATAGATAGATAG